AGCCTGATAGACACAGTTAGTGGCCTGAATTTTATATTCATTTACAACATTTGGTTTGTTTCTTTCTTTGCACTAAATGTTTTTATGGCCTTAAGAGAATCCATACACTGTAATACTTGACTGCCTTGAAAAAAAATCCATTCACTGCAATACTTGATTGCCTTGAAAAAAAACCCACACTAGTGTTTGTGTTTATAGGATAAAATAATTTCAAAAAAGGACATAGGTTTCAGGATTTCAAAGGGTTATGGCAATAAAATAATCTTCCATTTATGAATATATATGAACAGTGGTCATGGTTAAGCTACAAAAGCCAGGACATCAAATTATCGCAAAGTATGTCTTCCCTTATTAAATATATTTCAGTAGGATACAGTTTTGCTACAGAGGATTTTAAATTAAATCATATTCATTGTCTTCTCTGCTCTTACTTCAAAACAAAGAAATCAGAAGTGATTTTAACTGCAATTAAACAAAAAATCTGGATGCAGATAACACATATATAGCTCTTTGTCCTATTATCTTTTGTTCTACTGAGTCATACAATAGAAAACATTATGATGAACCACTCACAGCGTCACAGTGGCAGGTAAATGCAAAACTACATACCAGAGGAAATTAACAAAAAAAATATGCTAGTGAGTCATTGCTATGACTAAGAGAAGTAAATACCTATTGACAGTCTAGTAATCTCAATTTCTCTACTACCATGGCAATGACTCACAAATGAGACTAATGCGAGACAAATGAGACTAATTGAGATACAGTTAAGAGCTCAGGACTTAACACTTTTCTCAGCTGTACAGTTAAGTGCAAATACTCACTAAGCTTAACCCTTAGCCCTAGATTTCAAACACCATGGTAACAAGATGTGAAGTTGATACAAAAATGAAAGTTAAAATTTTATAAGTGATTATAAAGATCTAATATTATATATTAGGTATTAGTGATTATACATTTATAAGTGATTATAATTCTTTTCACTGGCAAAATTGACCCTAGACTGACTGTTCTCTCTGCGCTGCAGTGTAACTAGACTTCCATTAACCAACCCACAGATTTTTTTGGCCAGCCCCTTCTTGTTCTTTTTCTTTCTCACTCCTCCAAAGTCACCAGTTCTGAGTATTTTCTTCAGCTCTAGATGCCCCTTCTTTCCTTTAAAAGCAACATCTCTTCCTTTGGAAGCTTGTTGGATTCTGCATTGCCTGCTGACTCCAGCTGTCTCAAACCCCGCAGCCCAGTTTGTCTGTGCTGAGTGACAGCAAAGCACTGGACTCTGACAGAGGCACCGGACTTGCTTAGATTGTGGATAGAAGACTCCATGTACAGGGCTTTTAGTGGTATTTCAAGGATGATAGGAACTCTCACAAACGCAGGAGTTGGGACTCCTTGGGGCCTAGAGGATAGCAGACCAAGACTAAAGCTAGAAGGAAAACCTACAAAATTTATTCAGGACCCTCAAATGTACCAGGACCATGAAGCATGCCCATGCATCATATACAGCAACAGTAGGGGGACAGCCTTGGCAGGACTCCCTCTGCTGTGAGTAAAGCACTTTTGCAGATTTTGGAGCGTCACTGCTGGGCCAGCACCAAGTGAAAGGGTTACCTGTAAAACATCCACAGCTATTATTAACAGGATAGAGCTCCACCTTCCCCCCTTTTTTCTCCCTTTCAACTCTGCTGGGTTCTTGTTCCTTAGGACCAAATGTTCCTTAAGAACCAGAAATTCCCCTGTCAAATATCTTCTTTTGGGGGCAGCTTGCAGACAAAATTTAACATTAGCAGCAAGCACCCTCCATACACTGCTCTCTTAATGTGGGTTTGTACTCCCAAGGCACTAACACCAGCCCTAGGCCAGTCCCTCCATCCCCCCAGCAGACACCCTGTCCCCAGGAAAGCTGCTGAGAAGAGCTCCAGCTCTCACAGAGGAAGGCTGTGAGAAGGGGAAGATGTACAGCGAGAAATGTTTTTTCTAATTTCTGTGACTAATATAACAGTTTACAAGCAATTTCTTTTGGAGATCTCGCCTGACGGATGAGCAAACCATGTAGTAAGAAGAGCAACTATGGTGGAGGTGGTAAGTCATACTCCTTTTGTGCATATGTATTTGAATGAAGTGGTAAACAGTGCTCTGAGTCACCACCATTCAAATGTCATGTCTCTCTCTCTCTCTCTATTTTCAGTTTGAGGGGGAAGAGAGCTGCCAGCACAGAAACCTGGAGGTGCTGAGTTCCAGTCAATTGCTGTCACTCTGTTCCCAGAGTAATTCACCATCAGTGATCCAATGGTTAATGCAGTCATTGGGGGTATGTCTGCTAAAAGCTCAACTCTTCACAACATTACAGAAATGAGCTATTCTAGGGGATGATGTATTTTGGCTTTTTTTCTTTAAATACCTTCAGATTATTGTTCTCCATAGGCATATAAAACATGCATTATATGCTCTTTGCCAGTGGCTAAAACATTGATAAAACCAGAAGAACCTTTTGTTCTGACCAGGGCACAGGACTGAGAGGCAGCACTCGTACTCTCATCTTTATGTCTCTCATTTTCATGCACGATGTTTAGTGAATCTCCTTCTCTTAGTGTTGCTCCCTTATTCCATTAGAAAAATTGGAATAGTAAGTAATTGTCATTATAAGTTGAATTCATTCACTTTTGAGGTTTTCTAATTAAAAATACTAAATATTTTTTAAAAAACACACAGATTTTCAATGTGCCATCCTTGGCCTGCTGATTGATTTTCAATGACATTGAAAATGTTGCCACTGGGCATTAGTTCTTGGTAGAGTCAAACAAACCAGGCATAATAGGACGCCATGCCAGAAGTGTCCCACAGATCTTCAGGTCTGGCTTAAAAAAAGGAACCCCACAAGACAGTACTCTTGAAGAGCAGGATGACTGGCAGGGATGCAGGGCTCTGAGCATGCCCTAGAAGGATACCTACTGGTGCAGCCATTGCCTCTGCTACACAAAGGAAAATGCAAGTACTCTGCTGTACTAAGTAGCTACCTTTTTGTTAAAGCTTATGTATAAAAAAAATGCAACTCCAGATAATTCCTGAAGCTTCAAACCAATTCTAAAATTATGTGCAGCATAATGGTCTCCAGCCCTTCTATATTAATAAGCACTGAGATCTCCTATTTTGCTCTTGCAGAGCAGCTGTTTTAGGTCCCAGCCTTAGCGTTTCCTTCCACAAGTAAACCTTGCCAGAATGGATTTCAGTTAGGAACCTCTAAACCGCGCCTCTGTGAAACCAGAGCTTTGTCTCCTATCTCATCTCCATGTATGTTGCAGGAGGGAGTGTTCTCATTTTCAAAGCAGTTTAAAATCTAAACGAGGAGCATTTTGTTTTGGTCAGAAATAATCATTGCTTATATACAGGTTTTTAAACAGTGCATTTCAAAATGCCTCTTCTTGTCTTAGAGCAAGGAGGAGTTGGGCTTGATCCGTCTGGGAACCGATTATTACAGCCCTTGGAAAAGTGTCCTTTTGAAGTACTGATATGGAGGAGATGAATTTAACATTCAGAAGTATTTCTGATAGGGAAAGGAGATGATGAGTGAGTCCTAATCGGTTAGTTTATAAAGTAATACAGTTGTACAGCTATGTTTTCCTATCCTTACTAAAAACAAAAGCAGGATATTGGAGAAAAGGGAGCTCAACAGGTGTCTAAAGTAAATGTGTGGAGATGTACACACTTGTAGAGACAGTTATGTCAGCTACCAGGGACACCCTGTTTTTTGATTCCTACCAGTCACCTCCGCAAGCCCTCAGAAAACCTGAGGACACAGACAGACTCAGTCCCAGCAGCAGCCAAGTAATGCCCAGTTCAATTTAGTCTTTACAGAGTTCCCCTAGCACAGTATTCATAACAAGATATAAGGCTATCAGCTCCTCAATCTGTTGGGACACAGGCCCAGCTGCCCTTGTGTCTCATCTTTCCTACCTGTAAGATATATACACCTTACAGGCTCTAGAGGCCTGTGAAGACATGAATTCAGGTTATTTGGTTTAATTTCTATACTACTACGGAAATATTTCTACCAAAAGCAGCTACTTGTATGGATAGGTAGATTAAAATGGAACCTTCTCTCAAGCTACTAAGACTCATTTCCATTTTGGGGCCCATTTTTCAGGTACAATTTTAAATGCCTAGGTCCACAAAACCCAAGATGTGCTCCAGATGAGTAGCATATTGCTAAGCAAGAACACTATTTGAGGCAGCTACTTGAGATCCACTGAAAATTTGTTTCTAATTGGCATCATCTGATTAGCTAGTGGGAAGAGAGAAAGTTTCAATGATACATAGCTTATCATAATCCATACGAAAGCAGCAGTTCATTAAAATGAAAAGGATAATAGAGGAAAGAGGAGGCAGGGACAAAAATGGAACTTTTTCATGATTGCAGAGCCAAGGCATTACCAGATATAGAAAATGGGTAGGCGAGATGGGGGAGAACAGACTCAGGAGGAGCCATGACAAAGCAGCTGGAGAATAGATATGCAGATGCTCCAAGGCGACACGTTTCAAGTGCTTACATCACTAGTAGGATCTCTCTTGCATATTCAAAGCAAGTAGCAGAATTGTTACGATGTCTCAAAAATTATAATCACTCGCATTGTATATGAATGTGGTCTTCTATTTTAGGTATTTAAACAGTACAATCTGGAGGAACGAAACGGCAATCTCTTTAGCAGTGTTTGTTTTTTAAGCAAATCTCTCATGCCCTCTGTTCACTTTTGAGTTGCATTAATTGATCCAGCTATACTTAGTTTAGGTTTTACTTTTTAACAAGTTGAGCAAGAAAAGTAAGACAGACTAATAGGTTTGTAATTCTACTAGGTAACTTAGAAACATTGTGCAGATGAGAAGTTTTATATGAACCATGAAGTTGCAAGTCAGAACAACTAGACAGCTGTGATCTGTCTTTGCACAAATTAGGAAGCTCTGTCAACCTTAATGCACACTTCCCATATAAATAAAAACTCCAGAAATCATTTTAATATAAAATGTTTTTATTGTTTTTGAAAACATTTAAAAAACAATTTTTGAGCACTTTCAATAAAAAAAATAACTGAAATGCTACTGCAATATTCAACTACTGTAGTTTCAGCAGTACAACAGACAACAAAACACTGGGGAAGAGGGGAGAAACTGGATTTCCTGCACTAAATGAAAACGTGGAACAGGGACTTTTCTTTCCTTATGGTGCAGTAAAGAACGCACAGTATAGTACAAGACTATTATATGAACCTCAGATGCACTGCACAAAAAACGCTTTCCTTCTTTTCAGTTCAGAAGTCAGTGCTTATTGCAATTATTTGCAAATTATTTACTTCATGAATTCTTATCATGATAAAATGATGCAAAAATGTTTTTCAACACCAGAACAATAAAAAATAATCCAAGAAAGGAACATATTCAACAATAACTAAGCTGAATTAGTTAACATAAAAAAGTAAATAACTTGTGAATAACTATGCTCACCTGGTTAACACTGAACCAGTTTCAATACAGCAAAAGAATAAAAAAAATAAAAGTGGTTACAGGAATATATCTAGTACTGTACAAGATAAGTCATTAACACTCATGCACGTTTTGTGATCATGTATTAACATGGTGAAGCAAACTAAACTTAATTTTTCCTGCTGTAATATTCTCATGTAAGAGAATAAGAAATAGAAATATCTCATTGAGATCAACGCACATTGCTACATAAGACAATTTCATCTGTCACTTTTAATGACATTTTGCCTTTTAATAATGAAACACATTAAAAAGTTTTTTTTTTTTTTTAAATCTGTGGGCCGTATTTGTTGCATTTATCCTAAGGAATGTGCCTGCCACAGGTTCAACAGAATTTTAGTGCAATATATGAACCCAGAAAGTTTGCTGGACTAACCAACCAAATTTAAAGTGTTTGCTGCAATACTGTACATAAGGGTACAAATTCACTAGTTTGTATACTTTAGCAAAAAATGCTATCAAAATAATTTATTTCTTATGTTAGTAGGAAGCCAATAATGTAAACAAGGGGTCAGAACTGTCTCAAATTCTTAGTTTTGAAGAATCTGACACAGACAGGCTTCCATTTGTTAGAATCACAGACTTTTCCTTTGGGTATTGCATACTTTGGTGTGCAGTAGTGCTCTGTCTCAATGTACAGTAAAGAACTAACTAGCACTAAGAACAGGGACCTAACAGATTATAACACCAACACACAAACACCTCTAAAATAATACATACCAATGTACAAAGCTGTGTGAACTAGCCCTAGCACCATTTATTGAAGTGAAAATGTTTTACCTCTGTGCCTTGGATTTTACTTGAAACAATCCTCACTGAATTGAGCATTTCTTAAATTAAAAATACATTTGCTTTAATCCACTGATTATAGAATATTCCTACTAATTAAAACTTGTGTTAGGTCCAATGTAATGCTTGTATTTATAATTTTAAATGCACTTCTAAAAACCTTTGGTGATGACTGCATAATTTAGAATGCATCAGCTTTTAAATTGACTCTTGCTTTACTGAGAAACAGAGGAGTTAGGCAGGAACTTTTTGTCACCAAGCCCACGTGAGCCTCAGTGTTGGCGATGCAGAGGTCAGGGCAGCATGCCATGCAAACACACAGGCTGCCCAAGATGCCGCAGGTGCTCCCCGCAGCGCGGGTGCTCTCACTGCTCTCCACTGGAAGGTGGGTTTCACAGATTCACAGTAGCGCTAGCACTTTACCTAGGATCAGAAAAAGAGGTGCTGACTGTCTCTCAGGCCCAATGAAGTCAAAGCAATAGAAGGACGCTCAAGATGTCGCTGGCTAGAGGCCATAGACAGGTAGAGAGTTCAAGCCCTGCCCTAAGCCACTTCTGTGCGAAAGGAGCCGGGTCCCAGCCTTGCTCACGGATACCTCACAAGGTCGCAAACAGCACTTTACCACCCAACTTCTAGTCTCCTCCCCATTTCCTCAACAAAACTTAGGGACATTTGATCTTGAACAAAACAAATCGCACCACTGTACATCAGTGTGTTTAAAGGCAAGATCTGAATACTCTTAAGTCTGTTCTTAATGAAATGGCCACACTCTCGCTGTAAGCACAGTGAAATCAGACCTCATGTAAGATGCTACAGCTTGGCACAACTGTTTGTCCCTGCAGAAGAGGCCACAGGCTAGTTGGGGCCAGGGTTGGGAGACGCGAGCAAGAGGAGCCGTGGTGTATCAGCATCTGAAGTGTCAATACAGCAGCACAATGAGAATCAGCACTGTCCCCCTCCCACCCCAAGCCCCACTAACCAATACTAAGATCTCAAGTCATTAGTAGAAACAGAAGATCACCAAGACACTTAAATGAAAAACCCCAATCAGCTGAAAATCTGATTCTCTTTTTCTTAACTAAATCTAAGGGGCTTCCCCCTTCATGAGTTCATGACCTCTCATTCAAAGAAGTAACAAAAGGTAGGAAAATGTTTTCTGCTCTGCTTTCAGTTTTATAAATGTCAGTTTACAGGAGAAATAATCAATTTTATACTAACTTTAAGGAATGGTATTACAGCATCCTTAGTGCTTTTTATATAAAAGCTTGCTTGTGCAAGTCCTCTTTGTAGGATCAGGACCATGGCTGGTTAAAGTACCTCTCTCTTTTCATCATTAGAGAAATACATGCCATGCTGATAAACCAAAAGGTTTTTTGTTTTTTTTAAAGTGAGCTAGTGAGGTAGAAATCTCAATCCCATTTTCAAGAAGGGGGAGCTAAGGACTTCTAACAAAAATTAGATCCATCGGTCCTGTCAAATCACTTGAAAATGTAATTCAGGCTCCTAAAACAGTATGCACTTTTAGAAGTTTTACCAAGAGAGAGCTCACGTGTGTATCCGTAAAGTGCCTGGCAGCATTATGGCTCTATACAAAATATTTTTAGACCAACAACATTTTCTAATATTTTAATCAACTTTTGTTTGAGAGAAAGAGTAGGTGAAAAAGACAGATGGGCTCAACCTACTGAAACATACAGAGAAAATAACATCTTCCTACACCCTCCACTAGGTTAGAAAAGAGTGGACTTAAAAATGAATTGTTAAAAATAGTATTTTAATGAGCTCCAGTAGCTCTTTTATTAAAAAATGAGGGAAAATATCATGTTCCTTCTCTAGCTTTGATAAATAATTAAACAGTACCTATCCTCTTAAAATAGGGTGCTAAGCCTAGATTAAATTTCAGTGCTCAAAATCTTTTTCCATGAATTTTACCCAATATATAAACATTGAAGTAAGAACTAAAATACTAAGTGTGATGTCATGAAAATTAATGGATTAAAACAACTACAAAGATTGGCTTCTCTTAAATAAAAATTTTAGTGCATCTTTCTTTTTCCTTGATCGTTCCTGTTAATTTTTCCTATCTCTGTGCTTTACCAGAGATGTAAATGGCACTGGTGCTACAGAGATTTCCCACAGTTCACCACTGAGCAGTACCCAAGGTTGCTTTCCATTGATCAAGCACTTGCATGTCGCATAGTTCACTTGCACCCATTCCCCATCACCTACTCATTTGCAAGCACCCTGCATTTCAGACCTGAACGACAAAGGTCAGCAGCAAGAATTATGTACTAAGAAGTAACAAGCAATACAAAGTATGGAAAGCCAAGTAACAAGCTGGACTTAAAACCTTCCCTCAGCCATAGCTGTTAATGCTCGCTGGCTATTAACCACTTCTTTATTTGTTACAATGAGAAATGTTGAGTGGGAATACTATAAAATTCAAATTTTAATACTGGCTCTTTGATAGCCCATCACCTTTAGAGATCTATTTAAAACTGATAAGACTGCCTTTTCCCTGCTGAAGGATGAGCAACTGGTACAGCAAACTTTTTTTTAAAAATGCCACAATACATAGCAAGTGTTTCTGCTGCAGGAGGCACTTCCATTAAGACAAATACAATACGTCTGTCTTTTAGATACAGTGTGCTACATACATACTATGAAACAAAATTAACCCAACATTTCAACAGCAGGATGATCCTTACTCTCCATCCACTCAAAACCTGATGTAGTCATTGAGTTAATGGATTCATTGCAGATTTGTTGAAACAAGGGGTCATTTTTTAATTCCTCCAGTGTAGCATCATCGTCTTGTCCCTGCTGACGACCTGGATCAAACAGTAGATTTGTATCCAAAGTGTTCAGATCATTAATGCTGCCTGAGAGGTCGGAAGACAACCTGATGTCGCTGGAAAAGACAGATGCAACGTTATTGAGATCTGATGCCACCTGATTCACCAGCTGCTGGTTGGTTGGCAGACTGTCCTCCCCTAAAAGGTCTTTTACAGTGCTGCTAAAATCTAATTGCTGCTCTCCGATGTCTGATTGTGCTTGGTTATCTCCAGAAGAAAAACTGATCTGATCGGTGCTGCTGTTTTTTGTGAGGTAATTTGGTGTTTGGAATTCATAAACTGAAGTGCTGGAATTGATCATATTTTGTGGGTTGGCACTAGGAAAAGCGGTGGACGTTTCTAAAATCTGAGTGAGATTCATCCTGGCTGTGTAATTTGAGGGCATGTTGTTCATTCCCAAACCTCTCACTGCATCGTCACTATCAGGATCAAGTTTGTTTAACAACACATTGGTTATTTTTTTAGTGTTTGTTTGTTTCTGAAGAGACGGAAAGGCCGTCTGCATCATCACAGTCAATGGGACTGACTGGCTTCTTTGTGCTATATTATTGGCACTGGTGTCTGCATGGACATTGGTAAATACATTGTGAACTTCAGGAGTTACTGGACTTCCAAAAGGTGTCAAGTTAGAGCGTGGTATATTTGAGACAGGGTAGACTGTGCTGCCACTGAGATTACGCTGGCGATGGACAGCAGGGCTCACACTCCGGCATCTCAGGCTGTTGTTGAGAGATGATCCGGTTCCTTTGTTGTCAAGAGGAGCAGGAACAGCAAAGCCCTCTTGCTTGGTGGTGCTATTTACAGGGGCTGCCTGGTGCTGCACAGGCGAGACAGGAGTCACACGACCAAAGTGAGTATCGTGGTGCCGTGGCTGAGACTGGTACGACTGGCCAGGAACTGCAAAAGCATGAGGCTTCCTGAAACGGTCTTCCACTAGCTCCTGATAGCTCGTGAGAATGCCATGGTTTGCAACCGACGAGTTACTAACACCACTGTACCCGTTATTCATCCACTCAAGCTTGGTTTTGTCAGGGTGGGTAGCCATAGGCCGCTGCATCGGCTTCACGGGGCTACTTGAGACAATGCTGGCATCGTGGTAAGCCATACTGGAGCTTATAGGAGTAAATGCAAATGGGTTTCGGCACTCCACAGGACTCGGAGGGACACTGCTGCTGCAGTTGGAATGCGGCGTGCCAATGGGCGTATGACGGCTGCTTCCTAGAGCACTGTCGACGGGAGTTGTCTGAGCCAGCCTGGAACAGGGGCTCTCTCGTGACACGTTCTGAGATCCAGCGATCATTTCGGAAGTGGGTGTTGGAGTCGGGGTGGGGGTGGGGGTGGGAGTTGGGGTGGGCGTCGGAGTGTGAATTGGAGTGCTGTTGTTATGGATTGAATGGTAGAAGTGCGCACTACTGGGATGAGATGACACGGGAGCTCCTTGAGCTGCTGTCTGACTCTGAAGTGCCATTCCTAGACAACCACTGTAGGGATGAGAATTATTCAATGACATCTGCTCCTCCATTAGCACCAGCTCCTCCACAATGCTGTCCTGGGTAAGGTCATCATCAAATGAAAAGAAGTTTTCATTTGACTGAGGGACTGTGTGTTCAAACTCTTTCAGCTCAGACTGCAGAGGTAACTGATTTGAAGACTGTGCTTGTATTTGACCCAAAGAGGAGTCCTGGATCTGGCTCTGTAACTGCTGGTTGTACGCATCCTGCTGTATACCGTCACAGTGCACTGGCTCCCATGCTGACTCTGGTAAGTCACTAGAGCCAGCGTGTCCTGCAATAGTCATAACACTGATATCTTGCTGCTGTTCACAATTCACAGATGCAAAGTCAGAAGTTTTGGTGATATGGTGCCATGTATTTGGGTTAAAGCTGCCATCAGATTTTGAATCATTCTCTATGATAAACATGTTTCCTTCTAATTTTACTTTTATATCTGGAGACGCTGCTGCTGCAAGCTGCTGTCCTAAAGTAGAATCACTGCTATTTACATTGGTGTTCAAAGAACAGTCTGTCGCTAAGTTTGCTGAAGCTGCAGAATTTACCTTTATGGATACCTTGCTGGGAACTTGAGCAAGTGTTGTGGTATTGTCACTGCTTGCTAATGATACAATCTTCGGAGCCTTCTTAACACTGTTGGCTTTTTGACCCTCCATAGCATTACCAGCTGAAAGCTGCCCCACCAGTGGTTTCTTTACAGGTGGTACCTGGGAATCCTGAAGCGCAGAAGGTTGTCGCTTTCTTGGACTTTTAGTGCATGTTTTGTCTTTAACTGTAGACTCACCAGTAGGAGGTGAATTGATGCTGGTGCTGGACAAGTTTTGACTGGCAACTGACAGCTTTAGAGTGCTTTGATTATTGCCTGCTGAAGAAACTGGTGTGATCTCATTAGACTGTGTTTTGTATTTGGTCCTTGCTTCTTCAGCTCCCTGATCACAGCCCTTAGCTGTTTTTGCCTCCACAACACCATCAGCTGAAACTTTCAAGGTTGCAACCTCAAAATTGATTTGTTGAGCAGCTGGCAGGCCAGGGGCTCCCTTTACAGATTTAGACACATCAGAGCTCTCTTGGCCCTGAACTGGGTTCTCATCCAGCAACACTTCTGGTTCCAGTTTGATCTCAACTGCAGATGTAGCTACAACAGTGCTAGGCTTGGAACCTGGAGACTGAAGTGAAACAACAGATCCATTTTTGATCTGAGGAGCAGTCCTCACTTCTTCCACTGCTCCTGCGCTGCTGTTAACTGAAGGCGTCTGTTTGACAGGCACGCTACTGCTGCTCGGAGCGAGAGATATTGCTGTCATTTTTACCACGTTTAAGGAATTCACATGTGGAGCTGGCACAACAGTCTTGATTGGGCTACTGGTGAAGAGCACCGTCGTGGGAGAGCGGATGGTGAGAGCACTGGTATTTGCTGGCTTCGGTAAGATCTGTGGGTAGCGATGCCGGGCAGAGCGGTCACCAACTGGGCTGGCTGGAACGTTCTGGGGAGTCTTTGGTGACTGTTTGACTGACTGCATGTGCTGAGTGACCACCTGAACATTGAGTGGCAGGACCTTGCTATCAGATGATCCCATAGGACTTGGAGATGTTACCAACTGCCTCGTCCTTGGCACCTGTTTAGAGAGAAAAAGAAAAGGTGTGTTGATGAAGCATGAAAGTCCCCAAAGTCCACACAGAAAATTGCATCACCAAGCAGGTAAAGGCCAACACAGCTGAATATACCAAAGCTAGCGAACATCAGCTCAAAACAAAACAAGCTCTTCAACCTATGTATAGACAACTGTGTACTGGCTGCCTAGCACTGGTGGGCAGATACGTGGCCTCAATTTTTAAGGCATGAGGCAATGCTCTATACACTACTTTGCTCTTCTGCATGACCTTAAAGAAAGGGTCGTTCTCATGCAGCCCTTCAGCACGTGGATCAAAAAGACATAAAAAGGATAAAGAAGAGAGGATGTGTTCAAAACACCAATCACTGTTAAGGTTTCTAAAGTGAGTAAAATGCAAACCCAGGATCAGGCAGAAAAACTGGCTCACTACTGAAATTAACACCACAGCTAACAACCTTAAAAACAAATAACCTTCTCCCCCCGCCCCACTTTTGTATGGTTGAAAGACAAGGATAACAGAAAGACCAGGATATTACAGATATTCATGCAAAAATGAAATTGTTGCCATCACTAAATCCACTAGACCAGTGAAAGTCAATTTAGATCCCATATTAGGGGATCAGTGACCCACATGGCTTTTGGTGGCTTTCCTGTCTGGTTAAACTTCACCTCAAGGGTAATTATTCCCATATATAAACTAAATTATTGCTAGCTTAAATCCCACCGTCGCTGACTTCAAAGATGAACTTGGTTTATTCTATAAAATTAAAATTTTACTGGCTCCATGTCTATCACTAACTCAATCACACTGTAACTCTTGTGGTATCACAAAGTCACTGGGACAGAAAAGCGTCAACGGAGGCAAGTCTTTGAATACCTGAAGGAAATAATTTTTCTATCCCACTGACACCACTGCTTAGTTCCTGGCAGTTTACAATCCACCCTTTCATAAGTTGGTTTCATTAGAGAATCACTGTGGAACATTACCGGTATTGGGCTGGGGACAGCTGCCACAACAATACCAATAGGCTGTGGAGACAGAATTGCAGGACTTCCATTAGATATACTAGCCACGCCGTTGGTTGTGGTGCCTTCAGTTTTCTTTGCTGGAGACTCCCCTGGTAAAGGAGACTGCAGTTTCTGTTCTTGCTGCTTCTTCTGGATCTTACGCTGCAGTTGCTGCTTGGCATCAACAGGAGATGACAGAGTTTTCACTTGTGGTTGAAAGGAATTACTTTCAGCAGTAGGTATAAAAGCTGAGGGCTGGGGGATCCCTTTTATTCCTGAACACAAAAAAGAAAAAAGTATTATAATAAAACATACCATGTCTGTTGTAGTGCCATGTCTGCAGGTAACCGCACAGAATACACGGCAGCACCTCCATAACCATTCTAGGGCCACCTCATCCATGCAGGCATTTCATGCTCAAATCTGTTCAGTGTTTCAGTTTATTTACAACATTCTGGAAAACCCTCTACTGGGGCATTAGCTGCTAAATATTGTGCATTGGCATCTTGTTTCTAGTAATCCCAAATGGCATCTTTTGTACCAGCAAAAACTAAAACCAATGTATTTCATTAAACTGACAGTAGAGGGCAGTGGATGTGAACCTTCACAATTCATTTTCTATCATGTTTTTGTTTTGCTAGCAATATTTAAAGCACTTTTAAAAATGAAAAACCTTTGCAGAAGGCTGTGGATTTGTGCCACAGATGAGCAGCTCTGAGCAGATGATATTATCTCATGATCAAAGTGTTAAAAATAACGCACACAGTGTCAGAATGGATCACAACCAGTGTGTGATCAGGGATAATGCTGAAAGGGTAAGAAGAGAAACAAACAGAAGGAGGAAAAGGTGGAAAAAAATATGGAAATTAGAACGAGAGAACATTTTTTCTGGAGACAACGCCTTTGCTGATCACACACAAGCAATGGTGTTTCCAGGAAAAACAAGAGTTGGCCTCATTGGTGCAGCTGGTACCAATCCCTGTTACTAAATCACATCGTAACTATGATCTTTCATTTGTTAACAGTCAAGAGGATTAGCACATTCCCTCAGTGACCACCTAACCCTATTGGACTGCCCCGTCAAGAAGTTTTAACACTGTTTCATTTATACTTCATAGGCATCTCAGTTTTTAAAACAACTCTTAATTATAAATTAATCAACACCATTTTAGGCCCTATCCCCTCAGCAGCAGTCTGCATGTACCATGACAGCTGGAATACTGCGGCATGTCTCCACTTTCAGCTTTCAATTCCTTTTTCACAGAAGCAGCACAATGTCCAAACATATTTCAATATCTGGAAAACAACAACTGAACTATGCGGGCTAAATACTGAGGGCAAGGAACATTTATGAGGACCCCCCCCCCCCTTTTCCCACCCCCTCCGCGGGGTTCTCACTTAATGCACAGAGACACTACAGTTCCTTGTGAGAAAGACCAACGGGAGTATTTTATTTGCCATTCTAGAACATACCAATAAAAGAACCTCTCCTGAGATGACCATCCAAGCCCCACAGGGGCACAAAAGAACTAACTGCCCATTTCCTTGAAACACCATCTTCTCTCAAAGGAAGTAAAAGCAGGGAGGTGCTACACAGAGATGCAACTTTCCTTGTAGCAGCATGGCTAGCAAAGCCAATGAAGCCAAGCAATGACACGTAAAGAGAAGAGCATACAGACAGCAAAGCCTTCCACTCTCAGCTCTAAGCTGCAATAAAGAAAAGACAACTAGAACGAGAAAGAACAAGATGCAGAAGCCAGTGGCCAGAAAAGGGGCTCTCCAGAACCCACAGCCCTGACAATCACTTCCCATTTGAAATTGCCCTTTTTGAAGTCAAGGGATTTGCCTTGGACCAAACACATTTTCCCCAACAGGCAGGGGGGAGAACGTCCCGGGGGAAGTTTGGGGGACACGTCCCTCCTCATCCCTCACTTTTGCAATTTATGCCAGCTACAACCAGAGAAAACTTCCGATGATTCAGTGACTCATTTTGAGAATGAAGAAGGAAACATAGAATACAAATGCAGATGTACAAACAACCATATCAAATACCACCTCTTCCAGAGGCTGAGTGCAGCAGGAATTCATCTGGTGTAGCAAAAAACCCCCCCAACTCTTGACCACAAATTCCTAACAGGGATTTAAAAGAGTGCAGGAATCTCAGTCACACAAGCGCCCCCAGAGAAGGCCTTCCTGTCCCTCTCAATGCCTCTCAGACCCTTATTTCTAATGTGGTCAATAGCAACAACAGCTGACCTCGTTGTACTACCTGACACAGATCAAACATCTCAGGAAAATTTGCATCTGACATACCAAAAACGCCCGTAAGAAAATCTGCTCTTGAGAGAAAATTAAGATAGACAATGGTTTCCAAATTAGGACAAGTTCTCAGACAGAAACACAGCTACACCAGCAGTATGCCTACAAACCTCCACTGTATTGGCACCAAAAACCTGATTGAGCAAAGTACTTAAAATTCAGTGCCATTACTCACATGCTTAAAGTTAATCATGCCTGGAAGTGCTTTACAAGATCAGGATCCTTACCGGAGGAATCCTGATCTTGTAAAACACTTGGGGGAGACCATAGACTCAGTCTGGAAGGACAGGACCATGCAATTACTATGGGCTGCCACCCCAGAACTGCCAGTAACTTAATGCCTGGGCTGCACACCCAGCCTTCGATTCTGTGCAGTTGATGCTGATCTGAACGGCCAGAATGGACTGCAAGATCAACAGCCTGACCATTTCCAAACATGGATCAACTCCTCTCCTTCACATCAGAGAACACAAACTAGAAAACGAATTTGAGAAAGACTACTCCAAATGATCCTATTAATAATTTCCTTGGCTCAGTATTCCTCACTTCAATTTCTCCATTGTTAAGGCGTTTACTGAACTCTAAGGACTTCTGAAGAAGTAATCAGGTTTCCAAAGTCCTCTCACTGACCACCCCCAGATAATCTACAGTTCACACTGGTTGTGATCAGATAGTCACTTTAAAGCCAACTGAGACGTCTCTCTCCCTTTTCCTTCCCTCTTCTCCTCCTCCCTCAGGTAGCAAATAGCTCTCAAGGGATGCAACTATATTTTGCTAGCCATCCCTGCCCCCAGTCCTTTCAACATGAACATTAGCATTACAAATCTACACTGCAGCAAAAACCTGTCAAAGAGATGACAGTGACATACGAAGCCACCTTCAGAGCCTGAAAGGCTAACGCCACAGACTAGACCTTAGACCACAGCTTATTTTCAGCCCCTACTTCCAGACTACCAGCAAGAAAAGTAACTTGCAGCAATGTGGACTAAAAAATCGCTTAAATGCATGCTCAAGGGTCAAACCCAGTCAGCGTTTAAAATCTATCCTGAGAAGAGGTGCTTCCTCAAACTGATGTATTACGCATGTCACCACAAGCAACTGAACTATCACCCTTTATTTCATCTAACGCTCACAGGAAAAGACCGAAATGTCACTGCCTGAAGTGGGATATACTGCAACACAGGGCAGGGACAACAAACGTTGCATCAACCCCCATCGTCCTGGGCTGCCCACTTACTTCACTCCTCCCATTGGCATCTCCAGATTTGATGTTAAAGAAACCCCTTTTACATAAAATGCATTACTCTTTTTAAAGATACCTCTTCTCAGAGATTCAGAATTAAGTTAACCAATTACCTGCTGGTGCCCCTGCCATTACTGTTAAAGCTGCCATTGACTTGGTACCAATATAGTGACTTTTTACAAGGAAACGAGCCAATTCCAAGACCGTATCAAAAGGCTGGCTTAGCACTTTCTGGGCCCATTCACAAACAAGCCGGCAGGCCGCGGAGACAACTTCCTCATCAGCACTTTGTAGCTGCCCAGATGGCTCTGTCCCATCCAACTAAACAAAGAAAAAGGAAAGGTTACTTATATTAAAGGTAATTAAGGAGTGAAAACAACAAGAACACAGAGCAAACGATGATCAGAAACACACAAAAAGTTAAGTAAATACGTTAGTTTTTTCATGAAATTGGGAGAAAAAGATCACATCAATACGATTCAACATCAAACGCTTTAACATTAATCTACTGCTTACTTCCAAAAGCATTATAGGAAGCTAACATTTTTGGAAGAAAACTGCAAGAAGAATCCTAACATTCAGACCACCTACAGTTGATACCTCCTGCATCCTAGCCAATTCAGCAGCCATTGTTACCCAAAAACTGCTTCTATCTCTGGTGTTCCTGTTCTCCAACAGTGATTTTTTTAAAAAACAGAGACAGCAAAAATAAAACAGAATCAGAGTTAAAAAGATAAACTCTGAAAATCTGCTTCACCTCCAAATTTTTTTTTTTTTTAAAAAAAAGCATTGTAATTTGTTTTGAATTTCACAGAAAAGAATCAACCAAGGTTTGATTTAGAATATGAGACGATTGTAAAGGAAGAACTTATTAAAAACTACATAGCTCTTCATTTTGTTTTGAAAACTTTAGACAGACAGTAAAAATAACATAAATGTCAATTTGCACTGATATATATAAATAAGCAAGTATATACCATACCCCATCTCCAGTTTTATGAAAGTCAAGGTTGGGCAGTGTTGGCATATGCACAAACGCTTTCTTCCTCAGTCCACTGTAGCAATATGTGATCAAGAATTAAGGTCTAAGTTGTCTCTACTTAGTTTGGGGAGAAGAAGAAAAAAAAAAAAAAGGCTGTAACTCCTTCCCCACCTGCCATGAATTTTATCAAGCAAATTCAAAAAATAGATCTGAAATCTACTGCTGTTAACATAAACCCATAGCAGGCCAGCATCAAAAGGCTACAAACGGCTGTGTGTTCCTGGGCACGTGGGTAGGCCTCCCCATCTACGCAGAGGAGCGACTGAGGCTGCATGTGGATGTGATGAACTTCATCTGAATTTGGCTTACAAGAACCACCAGCCCAGGCCAAAAAACTTCAGCTAGCTACCCTGGATTTAAATCAAAATTCGGACTAAATTCCCTTACTAAACAAGACCTAAAAAGAGATGGAAAATAAATCATTTTCAAAAATGAATCACTCTATAAAAAAAATTGTGCCCAATTTCTAAGCCTGTATTTAGTTTTGACTTCCAGTTTTAGTTCTTATTTTGCCTCTCTTTGCTAAATTTTATGAATAAGTAACTGACATTACCCTCTCATAAGGCACTTGAACAAACTGAAGAAGTTGCCTCATGACAAGATAAAGTGACTGAACTTCTCTCACAGGAAGGCAATTTTTCCTAAGATCTCATACAATTTTTGTGGACCTCTCCCCACCCATGACAGCTCTTTAAAAATACGGACACAAAAAGCCAGCTTTATTCTTACATCACTCTCATCAACGCTGCACATAAAAAATATACTGCCTACTTTGCTCTCTCTTGTTTATACATGTAAGAATCAAATTCGCCCTTTTTCCTCCCCATAGCATTTCCTTGGGAATTCATGCACGGTGTCTGTTCTCCGTGACCTCCAAATCCTTTCCAGAATCACTAGTTTTTCACTGTAAATATGGTCTTTATTTCTTCTTACTCTACAGTGGAACTTGCATTTGCTTGCATTAACAGGGATGGAGTAGAATTACAGCAAGTTAAATATCTTAACACCTAGCCCCTTAGAAGTGTGAGGTAAGGTCACATTTTAATCATCCTGAATTAGAAACTTAGGAAACAAAACTGAAAAAGACACCCTGGGCCAAGCTATAATTACACCATGATTTCTTCCTTCCTTATGATTATGTTACAATTTCTTCCCAAAAACCTATTTAGCTCCATCCTGAAGACCACTGCTAATTTTTGGATTCCACTGCTAAATAATCCAACATTGTATTTAATGAAACAATTTGACACAGAACTTGCCCATTTACTACTACATGAAGATCTTTTTCTCCAGGGAAGACAAGTAATACAGGGCTGCCAACTAGCATTTAATTCCCTCTCTAAGTGCATGCTTCAAGTAAGACCTTGGCCAAGGCCAGTACTGCAGTGAGCCTACTGATCATCACTGCTGGTTCGTTCGAGTGGTTTTTCATTAGGGCCCACAAGCACCTTGATGCCCTTAGGCCTTCTCATGCCCTCTCCCTCCCTAGCTTACGGCAGTGATGTAGCCCACCCCGCACACCCGAACGAAGCTTGTAGAGAGAGGCACAACAGCAGGTGTTACATTACTTCACAATGATTTCTAATGATACTCAGAGAGAGGTGTGATTCCCAACTTTGGAAAGACAAAATTCTTGCTGGTGAATAAATTCCTTTGAAAAAATCACTACCAGTTTTTAATTTTCTAATGGAACACCTCAGTGTGCTAAAGACTAGATGGAAGGAGTTATCTATATACTTAATACAAACTATAGCTTTAATCTCAGAAAAGCCTGAGGAAAATACACATGCTTGCAGCCTTTAGACTTGATTATCGCAATTCTTCCCCAGCAGAGCTTCTTGCCCTTACACTGAAGCAGCAGAACCACCAGCGGTACAAGCAGACTCTTTTGCACAGCATTTCCCTGAATTCTTCACAGTAGCTGCCCGTCATTTGATAAACTAATTTGGCCCAACATCTAACTGCCTGTAGTTCTGCCTGTAACAGCATGTCTAGTTACATTATATTTGTAGCACAGCTTAAGAAAGATCTCTGGCTTTACAACTAGCCTTGTAAGTTACTGGTGTTCACAGGTATAATGTAACAAGCAAGGAACATTATGAGCTTAAGTACTTGTTTCTTGAAGTTGCACCTTGTAACCTAATGCTACAGCGATTCACAACTTCTAAAGAACTTTGGGAAAAACGTTTGCATTTTTTATTTAAAATTATTTCTAAATTTAGCTGGTAGGTCAGCCATAACAACAGATGTTCTCCAGGCAAGTGCAGAAGAAATGACTGAGCAATGTTCTAGCAAAGGATATTTTGATTTGCCTCTTGTGCCTAAACGGCGGGCCTTCATATTTGGAAACACATTTTTCATGATCTTTCCAAAGTCAGCAGCACTTAATGGGTGGTAGCCAAGATTGTCACAATAGCTCCTGCAACGAAGAGAAAGAAAACGTGAATGGAACCAAAGTTAACACCAAAGGCCAGCCTACACGTTGGGCTCCATCATAGGGTTTTAAACGAAAATACTCATACCTACCCATATTTAGAACCACGTTTAACATTAATAAAGCTATCCACAATGAACTGAATACATTAAAAATATATAATCAGAGCTATTAATACCATAGTTTTTGCCTTGTTCTCTTCTGAGTTCAAAGGCAAGTCATGCGGAGATTTAACAAGTAGTGGCATTATCTAGAGCACAGTTAAGACTTATTCCACAACTTAGTTTGAAGCTTACAGTTCAATTCGTTTATTTTTAGGACGTAAAGAAAGCAGAGACGTTCTCTAGGTATGGTCTGTGTGTGGCAAGGCCTGACGTCCTGCATGGCTCTTTGAAAAGCAGTAGGTGAGAGATCTGCCTGCACGTACAGACAGACATTCTGCCTAGACAACCTCAATTTATATTAAAGCATATCCTCCCAGGGAACCAGCTTCACCAGCTTTCCAGGCGTAACGCAGGCACGTATTGAGGACCTGGACCTCTTACCCGTGCACAAGCAATTATTTGCCCACGTTGAACTACGGAAGTTTAATTAAGCAGATGCCAACCCCTTACAGACATCCTTATAATCAATTCTAAATTAACAGAGATTTTGCAGGCCTCTACAAATGTAAATTTATTAATCGTTACACTACTGAGTATACATCCTGATAACACAGGGGAGAAAAAGCAACAAGAGGTGCTTATTTTTCTAAGTGCACTGTTCTAGTGAAATGGGCACGGTTATCTGTCTTCAGTTCTCAAAAACAGCAGAAGGAATTTTGTTTCAACATCTATTCAGATGTTTCAACATCTGAGATATTTTAAAAAAATCTCCTTGAGGCAGAGAGCAAGAACTGTTAATTTCACTGCAAAAGGTGAACGTTCTGGAAAATTACAATCACGTGAAAGCACAGGAGAAAAATGGAAACTGCTCAGGAACTTTTACCTACGTAGCAAGCGCTTAAGGCTGCATAAAGATATGAAGGCTATTACATACCGCCTTTTGTTCCAGATCCTTGTGGTATTTCACAGAGGTTAATGCACTACGCCCCAAAACATACTGTTAAAGCATGACGTGCCTGAGGTCACCGAACCGGCACCAGAGAGCAACGACCTCCTTTCCTGTGAAAACTCCTCCCAGAAACACACGAGAAGAACCTGTCTCTGAAGAGGTGACTGCACACCGTTCTGCACAGGCATCACAGCAGGAGAGCAGAAAACAACCCCCTCAGACGCCACGCGCCTGCTACTCTAACCAGCTACGGATATGCAAACAAACTGCAGCTCACACAGGAAGGAAGGAAGGAAGGAAGGAAAGCAGCATTCCTGAAACAGAAGTTTCATTCCCATCATCACCTATTAAAACCATAACAATTAATAATAACATTTGCACCTAAGTAAGCCAGTCAAAGGGACTGGGAACTTAAGCCGTATATAGAGCAGCTTACAGTTCCTGAGACACCGCACTGCATTTTTTTTTCCCTGTCAAAATCCTAGCTCTCAGAGAGCAGGAATCTGCTGCTCTTACCACCTCTTGCTGGAGACGTCAAGCTCTTTGATGATAAACAGCAAGGTTTATGCTATCTGGTTCTAACACTCCTGCAGAGCTCATCTGCACCCGTTTCCCACAGCTCCTGGGCTTCATCGCCCAAACCATCAGATGTCACCTGCAGACCTGTACACAGACCACCATCATCCATGAGACTGAGAAAAATCCAAACTTTTATTTCTCCTTCCAAAAGCCGGTGCAAAAGTGAACGTAATGCAATTCAGAGGAGTCAGTGCTGCTGAAACTTTCAGCCCACTCTTGTGAGAAGACTTTCACCCTTTTTTATTTAAAAGAAAGTTAGGAATGAAACAGAGAATGCAGAAAAATAAAAGCATTCACAACAATAGCATCTAACCACGGGAACGGGAGCCCACGGAGGCTATGGGAGCTCCATCCTTGGAGGCAGAGCATCGCAGCTTCCTTCAGGTGGGAAGGCACCTTGGGAGGGCTCCAGCCCAAAGCAGGCTTGGCTCGAGGCCAGACCAGGCTGCTCAGCGCTTTGCCCAGTCAAGTCTTGAAAACAAGGACAGAGAGCACGGCCTCTCTGGGCTCCTGTTCCAATGCTTAATTATTCTTCTTCATACATTAACTGAATACGGCCCCGAGCAACCTAAGGGCACTTTGAAGCTGCTCCTGCTTTAAACAAGGGGCTGCACCAGGTGACCTCCAGAGGTCCCCTACAATTTGAACTGTTCTGTGTTTCTATACAGGACATCCAGAAAGCTTGTTGAATAATTTTTACCCATTTATATACCAAATTTCATTAAAGTGAACGTCAGTCACAGTATCTGGTTTCTGAATAAGTCCCTTCGCAGTTAATGCACTGGGATGGAGACTTCTCCTGCTTTGTTGCACTCTCTTAGGAATCAGAAGCTGTTTCAGTTATAATGTTGTTCTGGACAGGTCTGTTTGCCTTTCCTTGTGGCCTCTTACCAGAATCCACTAGATTTTAAACTTAGGCTTTGGAGATTCTTAAAAGGTAGGACACTGTCACTTGCTCATGCTGATTACAGGACATTAAGTCTCAGCTAGCATGCAAAGGAGGGCTCTCTGAATTTCTCTGATGCAGTCAGCAATACCTCTGACTGAAAAATAGGCAATATATGCAAAACAAAAATAAAAAAGCAAATTAGCAAACAACAGGACTGATCAGTCTTGAAGTGAAAATTATTCTCTCTACAGGAGAAAATGAATAAATAAAAAAGGAAAAAAAAATCTGCTCCTCAAGTCTAGCACATCTGTTTCCAGCCAATTACTTGCTAGCAGCAATAAACATACAGTTACACAGTCCCCTTGTATCCATACCGGCAGCTCCTGCAAGCTTGTGATTTCTAAGCTGCTATTATCATTATCATGTAATTTCAGTTTTCAGACAGATCATTCCATGTGGCCCCTCCTCCTCCTGGCTCAGCCGAGATGCCTCCATGTCCATCTGTGGTCTGTTATTGACTTGACAACACATACCGGGAGTCTCTTGCCTGCAGCTCTTCTCTCTGCTACTTGCACTCTTGGCACATTGCTGGGCCCAGGAGCGGTTCTGCCGATTCGAAGGGCGGGAGGGAAACGGATCGGGGAGGGAAGCTCTAGTCAGAGGCAGGAACGACAACGGACACCCGACTGCTTGGGTTCCTTTGCACAGAGCTCCTCCGCACAGTAAAAGTGGCAAGAAAAGTACTTTTTTTGCAAGATCTTCAAATTAAACATACTCAAGATATAAAATACAATGAGAGTAGACTTCAATTAAATGACCAAAAGGATCATCTACAAGCCAGCAAAGACAGTCAGACTCTATTGCCCAGCTTAAACAGCTTCCTGGGCAAGGAGCTGGATAAAACGGAGATAGAAGGCTGCATTGAAGCAGAAGGGCCAGAGAAAAGCTACAGACACAGTGCCTCAAAAATCTGTCTTGCTACTGATCTTGCTTAATGCTGTATTACATGATGTCAGCAGAAAAAAGTGGCAAAATCATCTCATTCTGTAATGTTCGGAGGCATCATTAACACAGAAAGTGATTAGGTTGTTACAGGGAGAAGCTGAAAAGCCTTGATGAAGGAATAGAAAAAGAATAAATTAAATAGTTCAAGATGAAAAATAATACACATGAGAATTCACGAGAGTCATTGCTGCTAAGTAGGCACTCATCAACCGAATGTGGCAAAAGAGAAAATGGATGTATTAGTCATCCTGTTATTAATTATGATCTATCAATAGCAGCTGATAAAAAGGTGGATAGGATCTCAGTGCAAAACAGCAGCAGACTCTGAGGCAGACATAGGAGAGTGCTACTGTTGCTACTGTTGCTGTATGTACAGGCAAAATCTCACAGAATATTGTACGCATTCTGCGTGCCATAGCCAAGAAAGATGAATTCAACACAAGACAGGTGCAGAAAGACTATTGTGAAGAGCAATTGATAAAGAGCCTATTACGCGAGATGAAACAAAGACCTTGGCTTATCCAATCCAGCAAAACAACTGGTCTCTAAAAATGGGTTAGAGTGAAGAACCTTAGGAAAAGCTTGGCTTTCTTTAAGGGAAAGAACAATGCTGGCACAGAAATGAATCCTTCAAACTAGGTAGGCTAGAAACTAGAAGGTTTAAAACCATCAGAGGAATAAAATTCCAGGTCAGACTTCCAACCGCAGCAATGGAGGTGGGAAACAACTGCTTTAGATGGAATTTGATCAGCTTTTAAAGGGAACAGATAGGCAGTTGCTCATGATAGAAGACTTGACAATACAATAGGTCCCATCCTGTTCCTATCAGGAAGTTTCATATAAAACACCAGTTAGGTGTTATTGGACAAGGTTAACTTATTTCTTACGCGTTTCATTTGTTTAACACACATAGTAACCGTGTATCTACTGCCTTCTTCTGTTCTAGCTTCTGAACATTCCTCGGATTTATTGCTTAACATCCTCAACATTTAGTGCATGCAGCCTATACATCAAGTAACAGGCCCAGCAGCCAGTAAAGCAAGAATTAACAATTTACAGACTAGAAGAAAGAGGTATAGGCTGACGCAAAGACCTCCTAATCTCTACTTATTAAGCATATCACGTGAATCTTCAGGGCACCAAACAAATATGAATGATCCGACTTTCATTCCTTGTGTCACTGTAGTAGCAGCAAGAAAGAGGATACAAATGTTTACCAAAGGCTCAACAAATCATTTTGTGGGCAAACGGGGATTTTCGTGGGCATAAGCACTGCAGGACTGCACTGCAGGACTGCACTCAGACTTCAAACACTAATTCTCTAAATTCAGCTAGATCTACACCTGGACTCCTGCGAAAGGATTTTTAATAATAGAGTAGATGCCTCAGTAAAATCGACTTGCAGGAAAACAGTGAAAAGATTTGATGGGCAGAAGCATCTACTCTCTGCATGCTGTATTACATGTTGGGCAGCTCCCCATGAGTCCCTGTAATATTTTCTAATCTGCATTCCCCCGTAAGTCCCAAACAAAGCTGGCAGGAGAGGTGTGTGTCCCCTATAGAAATAAAGCTTCTTATGGCACAACTTACTGTGTCAGTGTAAACAGTATCACAACAATGCCAACAAGAAAGGTGAAGTATCTCTGACCTACTTCCCATTTGAAATTCAGCTGCGAGGTCTCAACCTTCCCAAGTACTACTACCTTATCTTACGATGCATTTTTCATTTATTTTATCCCTTTACAAGCAAGATAAATCCATTCACTTTCACCTAGAGATGTGGGCTTACAACTAGATAGAAGAATAATAAAATAGAGCAAAGATAAAATGGAAGAATCACTGTGTTGAATTAGCTCAGAGACAAAAGGCTACAGACGTGCAAAGGAGCTGGTAATGCTATTAACACTTGCCAACGTTGGATTTGTGTAGAATGTGAGCACCTGTCTGTCTCGCTTCAGTGCGATAGAAAATCACATCAAAGGTGATGCAGACGCCCAGTAGTTTAAGATTTATTTTGACCAAAGTTTACAGCAGGACACGCTTCTGGAGCATTGATTTATGTGTAGAATGCATAAAATTGCTTACTGTCAGCTCAAGCAACATCTATCGTTGCAAGCAGAGGAGAGAAAGTGGTAACTTGTAAATGAGACAGAAGTGAGTTTTGATAGGTCTTAAACCCCTTAGGTAAAGGAAATGATTTATCAGAACTAACTCTCATATCTATTTATATGTCTGTTCCCCACCTCCCACTCCAAGCCTATTCTTCCGTTGGTGTGCAAGAATAACTCATGAAAATATTCAGAGAAACTGAGTGTTTTAAAAACAGAACAGATGCTTTCAAAGGAGAAGAGATTCCAAACATTTGATATTTTCCTGAAAATTTGCTTACCCCCCTTATTTTGTTAGGAAAAAATACAATACACAAATACTTGATGCAGCTATATAGAAAAGCCATCCAAATTTCACACTACACAATCTGTAGATGATGATTTTTTTCCGGGCATCTGCAGCTTGGCACAGCATGGAAGCCAAGCAGATTTGTTGCTGAAGCAGGCCATAAATTATTTAATAAGAAATATATTTAAGAATAACGCTTCCATTTCTCTGCCGCCCAGCAGCTGCTGCCGCTGTTGCTGTGTCTGCAGGAGTAGCTGTCTGTGCGGGGATTGGCCAGCCCAGCACATCTGCGCTATTGGCTATGTTTCCAGGCTGCGTCACTGCTCAAGTTGATGGTGAGATTTCAGAAATAGGTGTGTGCATGTTTATCAACCCCAGGCAAGCTAATGCCATCATGTTGCAGCTCAGCCAGAGTAAAAAAAAAAAAAAAAAACAAAAAAAAAAACCCACTCTACCAGAGAGAGTTAATTAAAATGAAGTATTCGCATAAGGAAACCCAGTAATCACAATTACTAAGGTCTGAGTTCTGTAGGCACTTAGGAGGTGAAGGGACTCCAGCTCCCTACAAATTACCGTAAGTGTTCAGATTATGGAAATACTCATACTAGATCACAGATCTGTTATTCTTATTTATCTTCAGGCAATTGGGCTACGGTATTTTTTCCCCCTCCTGTGGGGAACATGCTGTAAATGAATTCAAATCCAACCTCTGTCAAATACTCCCTCTCCCTCAGTTCTAATCGCTTTCCTTGCTGCACGGTAGCTTTGAGACTTGACAGCACAGACCTGCAGTGGATTGGTTACTGGTGCCATACATATTCAGATATACTGTGCCTTTATAGAAATCAGCGTTGCTGCAGGAAGGTCCAGTAGTTTTTGCATTATCCCAGAGAGAAAGATATGATGGGCTTGATCTTAGGTTCCAAATAGCTCCATTTTCAGGAGGAAAATGGAAATTCAACCCTTCATCCCTGTAAGGCAGTCACGTGTGCGCACATATGTGAGCATGTACGTGTATATGTGTGCACGTGCACATGTACATAAAGCCAGACCACAAATGTACTGTAAGATAATAACTGGTGCTTTTTTTTTTTTTTTAAACCAGTGCCACTGTCTGTCCACAAAAATAAAAGCAGTAGCATACCAATATTTCCTTGTTAAGAAATACTTGCACATTTATTTCAGTGTACGCAATGCACAGTTTAAACAGTACAGTCCTACCCTCAATGGCAGAAATAACGAACAGAATTCGCCTCACTGTAGCTAGCATATTCTTAGTTGCATTAGTACCTAAGGCCTACTTCTTCTATATGCACTCGTGCATCAGCAGAGTATCTGGAGAGCCTGTGTCACAGAACTATGCCTTGCTATAGCCACATGTATGGTTTCAGTTTAGGAGCACTCACTTGTATTCATCATAAACCTCCTGTTTGGGAAGGGATGTCTCCGGGTGTTCTTCCAAGGTATTCCGTATCCAAGAAAACGCATGCATTTGCTGCGCACGGCTAGATGACATGGAGATCTGATCACTAGTGAAAGAAGAAATAGTTCTGATAAAAACTTCGCTCTATAGCTCCTCCTTGGTTACAAAACTTAAAAATGGATGACCTACACAGATGGAGAGACACCAGAGAGAAAGAGGGCCAGCACCGCAGGCATTTAGCTATTCCTTGATATGTGGGCAGCGGTTATCTCCCTCTTTCACCTACAATTTAGCAAAGTGAATCCATACACTGGTTCTTTGATGGGTGAGAGTTCAGCTATTTCCCCTCTTACGTTTATTGTTTCTTATTGACCACCTCTAAGCTTCTGCCTGCTCAGTCTTTGGAAACATCCAAATTTCTCAGCAGAGCTCAGAGTACTTCCAGGAAGTGCCTGTATGCCTATAATTATCCTGTACTAATTTGGGGATGTTGTGATCTCCAGGTTGGCTCTCTAGATCTTACTTTAATCAGATAAACGTTACCAGAAATACCATTAAGTCTTTCTTTCCCCTACCATCACAGTTGTGCTGCTACATTATCACTTCCTACATAAAAAGTGAAGGAACAATCACGCTTAGGCTGCAAAGCACTTTCTTTGATGAGCCTTACGTGGTAGGAGATTTATGTTTACAAACTACTCATGCACTAAAGATTTCAAAGAAAAAAAAATTCTTAACGTTTATTAAAAATTGCTTCTATCAAACACAGCATGTAAATGCATGCTGAATAGATAAGTCCCAAGGAAGTTATAAAAGTTTTCAGAACTAGCTGCTTTCCTTTGCACACAACGTACCTTTTGTCTCCATTGTTGGGACCCGAAGGCAGCTGAAGGTAGAGGTAGAGTTTCTCTAGGTCTGTAAACTTCTCAACTTCTTGCTAAAGAACAAAAATGTTTTGTTAAAAAAAAAAAGTGGGGGGTGGAGAACCAGACAATAAGGGTTGAGCTTATTTCTGAGAGCCAGAAACTGTCCTACAACAGTGTATCCCAGATAAAGGGATTTACACATCCCATTTACTGATGTGAAAGAACATGACAGTGAGTGTTCTGGGACCAGAACCTTGGTTTCCTGTATGCACACCAACCACCACTCACTAAAAAAACATTGGTCCACAGTGACAGCTCCTGTATACTATTACAGAATTCATATGTAACAAAAGCAGAATCTGGAAAAGAACAGTAACAGACCACTTCTGCACCCAGACATATAACATGAAGATGTTCATTATACTCTCAGAGCACACATGAGAATGGAGCATCAGAAAACAGCTATTCTGTAACACAGCAGGATGAGATCTGATCCTGTGATCCACATCACTATATTAATAGTTAAATGAGGCAGACTTCAATTAAGACACTTAAAAATATATATAGTTTTTTGGTTTTGGAAATCAGAGTGATCAAATAGATACTGAAAACAAGGCACTTAGTTAACAAAAATCCCTACAATACTAGACTCCTATGCTCTTCCAAAGGACACCTGCTGAGGATGAGACACAGGGGAGTTTTACCTGGTGTATGCAAACAGTGACTACCACAAACGAACCAGCTTTCAGGTGATCCCAGAACAGCTAAATGGACAGCGAAATACTAGGAAAACCAATTATGGTAACGTCCTTGAGGCTTATCGGTTGGCCTCCATGCAGCAAGGACCAAAGGGATACTCCTTCGGGAAGATGCTGCAGAACCCTAGTAACCTTTTCTAAAAGGGAAAGAAGAAGGCAGGACTAATGGCCAGCGGGACCTGGCAGTTTCCTTCAGCAGTGAGCAGAATTGAGCGAAGAAACTAGAAACTTGAACTCCATTTCGAGCCGGGGTCTCCACCCTCGGCACAACTCCAGCCAGGCTGAGGCTCATCACCTGCCGGTGGCTTATAACTAACAAGAGGAGAGGACAAGAGGTGAGCTCCCACCTCCTCTCTGCTGGCAGCTGCCCCAAACATGGGGCTCCCCAAGCAACCCATGCCACTAGGAAAGCACTGCCTGGGGAGGGAGCATGAATGCAGGAGCTTTCTAATCCCAGCTGTCTAACAGGATGATAAAAGTGGGCCACCAGCTATGTGACAGACTCGTTCTCAGAGCCAACTGAAACATTTCCAGCAGCAGCCAGGTAACATACGCTAGGTTTGTTGCTTTTGTAAGCTGCAGCAAACCACAACATTTGTTTTCGTTCTCTGACAAACTCCTGAAATCTGCTGACACCGACTTCTGTGCGGCTTTTGCAGCAGCTTACACAGCAATGGTGCTCAAACCACCAAATATCCAAAGAGCGATTTCTCAATGCGTGCATTTTGCAAAATTCTCTCTGCACAAATCGCAGCCTTTGGTGTTCCCTTTAACAAATCCATTATTGAGAACAGCAACAAATTCCTCAATGAAAGAATTTAAAGGAAATATAACATAAGCAAGAAAATTTGCATTTGCTTATTGTATCTCCTTTTCTTCAAGGAGAATTTCAAATGGCAAATGCCAGAGAAGCATGCCCCAGGACACAGCTCAGGTAAGAAGAGAACTTCGCACAGTAAGTCTTAATCCAGGCAGTGACAAAAAGGGGTGGAAGATAACCTCTCTTTTAAATCTAATGTGTTACAGTACAACATAAATGGTGAGGTTTTTAAGGAAATATTAAGAGGTTGAGAAACATTAAACCCGTTACCCTCTAATGGGTGCGAGCCCTGCTTGCCGGCGCAGCCCTGGAGCTGCAGCTCTGCGGGAAGGAAGGGGCCGGGGGCAGGCAGCCTTGCCTGAGCGGCAGAGGCCCAGCTATGTAGGCCACCTTGGTGAAGCCCCTCATTTGAGAAACAACATATGTGGACAGAAGAAACGTGACTGGGATTACGTTAAGAGAAACCGCTTTCAATGGTGGCAGCTACCCAGCAGCTCACTCGTCAGCAAATTGCATCCCCAGAGTTCAGGCAGCTAAGGATTGAGTTTTTCACATCTTCAGCAGAGAAGCTGGGTAATAACTCTGTCCCACTGTTTTCATTGAAAACCTATCTTCTCTACCCCTCGCCACAGGCGGCTCTTTTTGGACAACTCCTTCAGCGTTTCGAGGGAGATGGCTCTGGGGCAGGATCTTCCAGGAGAGAGGAACGTTAATACACAGCTGGGATTCACAAGCCGTTCATGAAGGTAATCCTACCTGGGTGATAATTAGACAAACCTAAGCTTATTAGATGAGCCTGAATCTATTTAGACTTAACCATCTTAAAAATGAAGGAGCTGCACCAAAGGGATGCAACTTGGCAATCAGCACAAGTAGATTCGGGAAGCAAAACTACTATGTTTTGTTTAGGCTGTTTTCTCCAAATGTTTCTAACACACTCAAAATTTAGTTCACAACTTTGGTAAGTACAATTTCTTTTTAACCTCAGCTGACACCTACCAGTTCTCAGTTGCCAAGTCTCCAGCAAACTCAATAGCAACTTTATTACTGAGACTGTTCAAAATATCAAAACTTCCAATTTCTTAGTGCAATCATAAAAACATCAGCAAAGCAGAGGCTCATTTCACCTGGCCGACTGACCAGAAATCTCTGACCAAGGAAAAAATGAGTAGAGAGAGAGAGAGACAGAGACAGAGAGAAAAAGAAAAAAGAAAAAAAAAAGATTCATTCATCCTGAGTTTTCCTTTGTGGTAAGTTGGATGTGTATATAAATGAGTAAAAAGAATGAACGCAAAATACACTGCAAAGTTTCTGTTTTCTACTAAGAAAATAGGTCAATATTATCAAAAATCAAAATCAAAAAATCAAAATTGGAAATCAAAATTGGAAATCAAAATTGTGTAGCATGCAAAACAGTGCGAAAAAGAGTCAGACCATCAAGAGAAGACTCTGGGGCTGGCATCTTCTTGGAAAAACATTCCCCTTTGCATAACCCTTTAAAGCTTATGCTACAATAGTTTTCAAAACCCACAGAGAATGTAAAATGTCTGGGGAATCCTTTTCCACTACTTAGAAGGATCTAAGCAAAAATTTTGCTTAAAGTTTCCTGACCTTAATGGATTGCTTCTGTCAAATTAAACGGAGGGTGTCTAATTCTCCAAAGCGTATTTATAAACCAGGCTTCTTGAGGTTGCATTAGAAAGTTGTATAAGAGTGCTAAACTGGTTGCAGGACCAAGGTGTAAAGCCCTCCCAAAGCACCACCTCTGCTATTTTAGGTCTTCACATGTTATGTTCGTCTCCTACAATCTCTAACTGCAACCACATCAAGTGAAGGAAGATGCGGTGAAGATGTGGAACAGGCAGTATGCACGCTTATTTTCCACAACTTTCCCCCAGTTAAACCAAAAAAAAACGTCCGCTACTCTAAATATCTTAGCTAGCTACCTTATACTTTTGACATAGAAAAACTAAGGACAAAGAATTAGAAACCTGAAGTCACAGATCAGCAGACTTTCAAGTAGCATATCAAGAAGCAGAGCTCTTTACTGAGTTTTTTCTTGTTTGTTTCAAAAGTCATCATTCCACAAAGAAACACACAAGACTAAGTGTAGCAAACAAATTAAACCAGAGATCTATTTATCTTTGTAAAAGAGCGGCTGCACAGATCTGGTCCAAGCGAATCTGTCCTTTTGCTGCCTAAAAAAGATACAGAACAAGGCTCTCTTAGGAACAAAAGCAACTTACTTTTTCATTCTAGCAGGCATTTAGTTTGAGCAAATAAACAGTTGTGAAACATAGGATGGCCAAAATAATTTTTGTGTTGTTTTTTAAATGAAAATAGCAGTTTTTGACATCTGGTTCCAGAGCAACAATAACTAGATACTGAAACTTTTCACCATACAGGAAAACAAACACCAGCTCAACCAAAAACGTGGCTAAGGAATTCATTTGTGATGGAGCAAACACGAGTTTATTCATGTTCTTGCTCTGAACTGGAGAGCCTAGATTTGAACTTGAGTCTCCAGTATCACAGAGCACTCTGACTGCTGATCTGCTGGCAGGTCTCAACCGTTAGGGGAAGTTTCACCCTAAAGCTGTCAAAATGAACTACCATGGAAATCTCCAGGGAACGTGCTTTTTCTGGGTTGTTTTAAAAAAGAAAATATTCAGTCAGGCCAATTGTAAAATAAGATGAAGAAGGATACTACTACTGACACAAGGAACGATGAGCAGAGTCAGAGCTTCTTTAATCAACCCAGCAATAAACAGCATTAAATTTGAATGATTTTACATTTCCATAATGAAGGTAGAACTACAAGTTATTTCTGTCTCAGAGTCCTGGCGAAGAGGAGTCGATCGCCAGGGGCACTGCTGCAAGCTTTTTGCAATACTACTATTTTAGAGAACATGGACTGATCTTCATATTCAGATCTACATTTCGGGTATTTATATGTAACTGTACTCTAACCAGACTCTCAGGCCTGGAAAGTAAAAAAGGCTATGCCAATGGCAATGTAACTTGCACCTAGTGGCAAACTGGTTCTAAAACTTGTCATATTTCAGCAGAACAAACATCCATTATTGAACAATCAGACTAAGAATAGCAAAGTAGTCAAGCAAATAATCTCCCCACTTTGAAGAAGGGAAGCAAGAAGCAAAGGTTAAACAATTTGCACAAGGTCACATGGTTTGTTGGGAATATGATCAAGATAGAAAATGGCTAGAAGACTGCTAATACCTCAAACACAAGCTATTGTTTTAAAAAGAGAGCACTGCTAATAAACACATCTGATATGCTACACCTGAACAGAAGCAACAGAAACCTATTTCAGGTGCTAAATACTCCAAACAAGCCTTAAAAACACATGGCACCTTTGTACTGACAGCGCATCCAAGTACAGCTGCCAAAGCTTCACAGAGCTTCTCCTTGTTTTCCGTAGGGCCAAAAAGAAGCGACAAGCTAACCGCTTCGTCTGCGGAAGAACCTGGGCACCTTGCGTCAACAGCTGTAGCCCACGTATTTTTGCTGCCGACACTACAACTGTTCCAACAATCAGTGGCTTTGGTTTTTACTGCCATTGATCCAGTAATCTCTCACCAGCACTGACCTCCTCCTAGCAGACTAAGGAAAGAAGCCTTAACCTTCTTGCTAAGTGATTATACGGCTCACACCATTATTCAAATCAGGTTCAAGAGTTCAATTAGTATGTGGCAATAAATATAACAAAGTCGTAAGAGGATCTACTTCTAGACATGTTTACTACAGTTAAAAAGATGTTATAATGAATTTTTAATGGCTGTTTACACCACAATTCTTGCTAATTATCTTTTTTGGATTGCACAGCACACAATGATTTTCTTATGATCTTCTAGAAACTGACAATATGTCAGAATGGAAATGGTGCAGCATGAAAGTCAAGGCAGGTAACTTTGGTCTCCTGTACAAATAAAAATTGCAGTCTTAGCACCCTTACTACTAGCTGTCTTCCATCATCCTCTGCTGCTAGCTACCTCCGCAGCAAAGACCACCGCCACTTTCTTGTTACCCTGTTGTAAACTAGGCAGCCTCTCTGCCAAAGAGCATCATCTCTGTGCATTTGTGCACCCTGCCCACTGCAGCTGGCACGGGTGCTACCGAACACAAACAACAGTAAGTGTAGTTTGATTTTTCCTTCCATTGGTGTTTTTTATTTTAAGGTTGCTGGCAAACTGAAGTTTAAATGGTTTAACGTATCATCAGCACCCTTCCAATATAACTGAAAGCTGGTCCCAGATCTCCTTTTTAGAGTAAAGGAGAGAGAGGACAGGCATTGCCCCATATGCTTCATGAGGCTGATTCAAAGACTCCGATGAGGTTTCTATCTGAACTCAACACGTAAGAACGTGCACTTAAAGGAAATGTACCAACCCTGCCATAAACTTGGACGTAGACTCTCTGCAAGCAGTTGGGTACTGATGATGTCTGAATAACCCAATCAAAGGAGCACTTTGACAAACCCATACGTGTGATATCCATCAGAGAGGAGCCTGCTCGTTTACCTTCTGCAGGACAAAAGGGAACAGGCCTGCAAGGAAGCTCCTAACAAGTAAGTTAGAGCAATTGATTCATGGCCTTTTAGCTTAAAACGCTTTTAGACTCTGTCCTAAAGCTCACAGCTTTACAAAACCACGGACACTGCAGAAACCACCTTGCCAGAACGTTTCTCTCCTGAATGTTTACCTTGCTTTCATGTTTATCTCCTGAAACTACTCTGCTTTTTTAACTATCTGAACAGCATTAGATCTAACCTCTGCTACCACAGAGTGGCCTTGCCATTGTTGATAGGACTCCTCTGAACTCATCAGGACCAGCAAGGAAGCAATAGAAACAGAAAATCAGACCCTCAGACAACTGCTGCTCTGCTTCAAGTCAGGCTATGGAGACTGCTTTGGATGCAAGGGCACAATTCAGAAAAATGGCCTGCCCGTCTGATGGATGATCACAAGTGACCTATACAAGTGAATGGAAATACTGGCTTAGACAAACGTGTAGCTGCCTACTGAATTCCCAGCTTCCATATTCTAGGCCCACAAGTCTGCAGAATTTAATATAAGAACAGTCCTACTGTACTCTCATCTACTTAAAAATGATTTCCAAGAAGCAGATGACTGGTTAGCCTGCTACTTATTTACTCATCCTCTGATGCTACATAAGAATTGCTCCCTTACTTCTCATTTTATATTCCAGAAAAAGCTGGCGTTAAGTAGTTTTGCAAGCGCAATTTGCCCTTTTGCCACTAAAACTAACATAGGACAAATTTAAGATTTATATTCAACTACTTTGTGTCCAAAAATGCCACTGAAAAATAAATAAGGGAACAAAAAAGGACATTTTGCATCGTTTGTTTAGTCAGATGTATCCAAGAATTCTTTTAAGCACAGGTAGAACTGGGTCCAAAGTTTGTTCGCAATACAAAAATACAGTTAGCTTTAAACCTCTAGACATGATAAATTAAGACAACATTGTAAGGAAAGAGAATTCAGTGCTATGTGAATTAGCCTTTGACAACTTGACTTTAAAGTATTCCTACTCTGCTCAGCTGGACAGATTCCATTTGATAGTATCCAGACGGTTGGCTGTGTTGTCATTTCATCTTACCTGCTGGCACTTCTGGATAAAAAGCTAAAGGTAGAAAGTCAGAGTAAGTAGTTCCTTCTAGTCTTAAGACTTATGAACTCAAACTCTGATTTAAAGACGCTTAGAACTCGCTCACTATTAAAGAAACACGCAAAACCACTTTCTGAGTTAGTCCTAGGTATTTGTTTCTCAGAAATAATCTCTTTTGACAGTCCAGATCCTGTTATTTTAAATGCATAAAGGAAGGAGATGCTTACATAGTTAAAGGGCTTTCCTTCTTTAAAAATGGCACTTCTCTCTGTCCTAAAAAGCACAGCTGAAGAGGACCTGTAGCATTGCTCATTTTTGGGAAGATATACCTGAAATGGTGTGCAACTTTTGACATTGGCAGGATTTAAAGAAACAAAACAAAAATCTGACGGTAACGGCACCTGCAAGATTTTCATGGACCAGGACATTAGCACGCCAGGTTTTGTACAAACACACAGTTCAATACAGTTCCTTCCCTAAAAGGCAATAATGACCATTAATCAACTTTTTTAAGGAAACAAAAACAAGTAGTCAAGCGCAGTAATCATTGCTACAACAAAACAAAGAGCCAAAGAGCAATGGAACCTGAGGGCCCAATTCACTTCTTGCAGACTCTGATCTGTGCAATACATAATCCTGAATTGACTATAACCATGCTTACAAAGCAGTAGGGCACGTTTTCCATGCCTTATCCGTATGGACAGCTCTGCAAGTGGAAACCACGGCCAGCATAGTAATCATGTTACTGGTTTGTGAAGAGGGCAAAACTCCCCTGAAAACGAACACTAAACCCACATCATACATTCTTTTGGCAATGGTAACTCCTTTTGATCACATTTAGCGGTAGTACGTTAAAGTATTGCCAAGAAAAGGCTTCATAACAGCTGTCAGTCTCCAGAGCCACCTATTTTGGCCTTGCAAATTTCATCAAATGTTAAAAAGCATTCTGGAGTTGTACTTACCAAAATGCAGTCCACTTTAGATTGTACAGTTTTGCTAGATGTGAGGGAAGAAAAAGAGAATAGAAATCTTGAATTAATCTAAACAGTAATGACAAAAATATTACATTTTAGAATTGCTGTTACTATATTAGAGGCTTAATCTCTTGCTACGAAATAGCCTGCTAATCTGTGGAAGAATATTCAGCCTGTTACTTTTTCATAGAACATCACTCCAAATGTAACTGTTTGTCAGAATACTTGCTGTTTTGCTCTTTTATAGAAAAACTGCTTATATAAGAAACTGTGTCTATATTTTAGTTAAGTATCACTGCAATTGGGAGCTATTACCCCAAGTTGCCAAGCAGCCAGGATGGATGTCACTACTTTGCAGCACTGGGTTCAGATTATCGT